GTGGCTTAGCTGGTGGGCGTGCCTTGGTGGTCATGTGACTGGGTGGACTTGGCGGTCTTGTTATTGGCTGGGCGTGGCCAACTCAACATCACCCACATCGAGGAACGCACCTCCTCGCCTGGCCTCTCGTGACTGTGGGGATGCTGCAACAGTCGTAAGTGTGAAAAAGAGTCATAAGTCACTTTTTTCAGCGCCATTGTAACTTTGAATGGTCCCTCCACACAAGCAAAGTACCAGCAAAGGAGGGGAAAAAACCTCCAGAGAAGTTCCTGAGACAGGAAGTCTAATCCTGCCAAGAATGTAATAAGGGTTAACGGAGAGGCAGTTTCTGTAAGCAACACCAGAATGTTTCCTTCCTGCCTTCCTTACAGGATTAGCCCAGTAATTTCTTCTAACAACCAGTTCTCCGGACTGCTTAGAATGTTAACAACCGGTTCTAGCGAATAGGTGCGAACTGGTAGAATCCCACCCCTGGGGGCATGCATTGCATTCTAGGTGCTTCCGCGCATGCAATTTTTGGCACAGGAGCCCAAAAAGGTTAGCCACCACTGTTCTAGAGTCTCAACATCTTTTTTACATCGTGGCAACCAAAACTGGATGCAGTATGCCAAGTGTGGCCTTACTAAGGCCTTATAAAGTGGTAGAATTCCACCCCTGGCTTTACCAGGAGATCTTTGTTATATAAAGCAGGGGTCCCCAACCACCGGTCCGCGGATCGGTACCGGTCCGCGGAACAAGTCTTACCGGGCCGCTGGTTGCTGGGCGCCGCCATCTTTTTTTGATAAAAAAGTGCTTCCGGTGAACTTTTCCGGGTAGAAAGCCATTTCTACCCGGAAAAGCTCACTGGAAGCGCTGGCGCCGCCATCTTTTTCGTCAAAAAAAGATGGCAGCGCCCAGTTGATGCCGGTACCGGGCGGCGGCATAAAAAAGGTTGGGGATCACTGATATAAAGTATTCTGGCCCAGGCCTTCATAGCCCACCCATTAACAAAGGTGGGGGTGAGTTTCTGCTTCTGAGTTTCTACTCTTTTCAGAGGAAATATTCTGCCTTTTTAATATTTCCCAGGATATTTCGATTTTCTGGGAGAGGGGTGGGTGCTAATTTTCTACCATAGGATGAACGATGGAGGGAACGAAGATATCTCTAATGAAGTGAAGAACTAGGATGGACATGAGAGCATATTCTAGTATTTGAAGGGCTGCCCCAAAGAAGAGGCAGTCAAGCTATTCTCCAAAGCACCGGAAGGCAGGAGAAGAAGCAATGGAGGGAAACTAATCCAGGAGAGAAGCAACCTGGAAGGAAGGAAGGAAGGAAGGACAATTAACTGGCGGAAGGGAAGCTGCTTTCAAAAGTTATGGGTGTTTCATCACTGGAGTCTTTTAAGAAGAGACTGGACAGTCACGGCTCTGAAATGGTATAGGACAGTGGTGGCTAACCTTTTGGGGCTCCTGTGCCGGAAATTGTGCCTGCGCTCACGTGCCAGCACCCAGAAGACAATGCGCGCAGACCCCCCCCCCTGGCCCCCGCCCATGCGCGCACGACCCCCCCCCCCCACCGCCGCCCCCCTACCTGCCCTGTGCCCGCCCCCCGGCTGATTTTCGGCCTGTTCGAGGCCTTTTGCCGCCTCCTAGAGGCTCGAGGGAAGCTTCTGCAGCCTCTGGAGGCCGAAAAACAGGCCCGTTTGGTCACTTCCGGTATTTCCGGAAATACCGGAAGTGACGAAACGGGCCCGTTTTTCAGCCTTCAAAGGCTGCAGAGGCTTCCCTCGAGCCTCTGGGACGCCCAAAAAGGCCACGAATAGGTGGAAATCCGCTGGGAGGCGCGCACATGGGCAATTCAGGTAAGTTTGCCTGGGGCTCGTGTGCCGGCACAAATGGCTCCGTGTGCCACCTGTGGCACACATGACATAGGTTCGTCATCACAGGTATAGGATCTCCTGCTTGAGCAGGGGGTAGGACTAGATGACCTCCAGGGTATCTTCCAGCTCTATTCTGATTGTTTCATCAGCGCTCAAAGGCTTGTTCAGCCTTGGACCAAAAAATGGGAAATAAAAACAACCAAGGTTAATCCTAACCAAGCCTAGGATTCAGGTAGTCCTTGATTTATAACCACAGTTAAGCCCAAAATTTCCACAGCTAAGCAAATGAAGTGGCGAAACACACTTTTTGCTCCATTTTAGGACCTTTCTCTAGCCACCGTTGTTAAGTGAATCCTTGCAGTCATTTCAGCTAGGAACACGGTTGTTAAGCAAATCTGGGCTGCCCACCACCTTGTCTTTGCTTGTCAGAGGGTTGCAAAAGAGATCCACGGGACTCCGGGAGAGCGCAACCGTCATAAATATGAGTCAGTTGCCAAGCGTTGGAATTTTCTTCATGTGACTGCAGGGAAGTGTGAAAAACGGTCAGACATCCATTTTTCCCCCCCCAGGGCCGTTCTTAACTTTTGGTCACTAAACAAAGCATTGTAAGTCGAGGATTACCTGTATTCAAACATAATACACCAAACCTTTAAAAAAAAAAACACCACTCAGTATGCAAAGCTAACAGAGGCTATGCCTGTTGTGTGAATGCATTAACCGGGTTATTGCCTGATCTCAGTTTAAGGCAGAGGTCTCCAAACTTGGCGACTTTAAGATGGGTGGACTTCAACTCCCAGAATTCTCCAGCGAGGCAGAGCTGACTGGAGAATTCTGGGAGTTGAAGTCCACATGTCTTAAAGTAGCCAAGTTTGGGGAACCATGGTTTAAGGTTTCCTGGGAATCCTCAATAGGGGAGAACCCAATTCTTTGACCAGGTTAGGAGTGATGTGTCCAGGCTTCACTTAACGAGGAGCGCGGACACTGCCTCAACCCTGATCCCGGCAGCTTCCATTTTCCGGAGGGTCTAACAGATCAATAGAATTGGAAGGGATCCCGAAGGTCATCTAGTCCAACCCCCTGTTCAAGCAGGAGACCTGCTTACACCATTTCTGACAGAGGGCAGTCCAGTCTCTTCTTGAAAGCTTCCAGGGATGAAGCTCCCACAATTTCCGAGGGCAACTTCTGTTCCAATTGAATATAGATTCATAGAAGTGGAAGGGAGCCTGAAGGTCATCTAGACCAACCCCCTGTTCAAGCAGGAGACCTTACACCATTTCTGACAGATGGCAGTCCACTCTCTTCTTGAAAGCTTCCAGGGATGAAGCTCCCACAATTTCCGAGGGCAACTTCTGTTCCATTGAATATAGATTCATAGAAGTGGAAGTGACCCTGAAGGTCATCTAAACCAACCCCCCCCCCCCCCCCCCCCCCCGCCCTTATGTGTGGAGCCCTGGCGTGCCCCCCTCCCCGCTGCCAAGGCGGGCAGCTGCTGCTTGTCCCCCATTGAAAGCGATCCAGGGCGGCCGCCGCCTCTGATCGAGCCTTTGATGGGACCGGGCAACAATGGGTCCCATTCAGCGCAGGGCAGCGCCCGGCTCCCTTCCAGGGCTTAATGAAGCGCAGCCGGGGCTCTGCACCCGCCCGGCCATGGGAAAAGGGCGCCCCCCGCTCTCCGCCGGGGCCGCGCGAGGATATATAGCCGCTCCCGTCGCCCCGGAGCCGGAGTCCTTCTGCCGCCGCCGCCGCCGCCGCCGCCCCGGGCCATGGAGCCTCCGCTGCTCCTGCTGCTCCTGCTGCTCCCCCGTAGAACGGACCCGGCCCCCGCCAAGGAGCTCTTCCCCCTGCCCGCCAGCGTCTTGCGAGGTAAGAGCGGCCCGTTCGGCAGCCTTCTAGTCCTCATGGAGGCCGGTCTATGTGGCTCTGTCTCCAGACAAGTTCTTTCCCCCTTTACCATCAGAGTATTGCCAAGTTCAGAGGGGCTGGAAGGTGTCTAGTCCTCATTGAGGCCACCTGCATGCCCCCCTCCCCAAGGTGCTCTCCCCCCCCAGCGGCTTGCGAGGTAAGAGCGGCTGTTCGGCAGCCTTCTAGTCCTCATGGAGGCCGGTCTATGTGGCTCTTTCCCGCCTGCCTACCAGAGTCTTTTGCCAAGTTAAAAGGGGCTGGAAGGTGTCTAGTCCTCATTGAGCTCTTCCCCTCTGCCTGCCAGCGACTTGCGAGGTAAGAGAGGCCGGCAGCCTTCTAGTCCTCATGGAGGCCAGTCCATGGGGCTTGCTGTCTCTCCAGACGAGGAGCTCTTTCCCCCACCCCATTACCATCAGAGTCTTGTGGCTGGGAGGCATCTAGTCCTCATTAAGGCCACCTAGCATGCCCCCCAGAAGCTCTTTCCTCTGCCGGCTAGTGTTCTTCGGCCAGCAGCCTTCTAGTCCTCATGGAGGCCGGTCCATGTGGCTCTCTCTGTCTCCGGATGAGGAGCTCTTTCCCCCTTTACCATCAGTCTTGTGGCTGGAAGGCATCTAGTCCTCACTGAGGCCACCTGCATGCCCCCCCCACCTCTTTCCTCCAGTGTCTTGCGAGATGAGAGCAGCCGGCAGCCTTCTAGTCATCATGGAGGCCAGTCCATGGGGCTCTTTTCCCCCTGCCCACCTGAGTTTTTTGTGAAGTAAGAGTGGCTGGAAGGTGTCTAGTCCTCATTGAGGCCACCTGCATGCCCTCCCCCCCCAGCTCTTTCCCCTGCTGGCTAGTGTCTTGAAGCCAGCAGCCTTCTAGTTCTCATTGAGGGCCAATCCACAAGGCTCCCTCAGCAGCAAGGAGTTCATTCCCCTCCCTACCAGCCTCTTGCGAGGTAAGCAGCCATCTAGTCCTCATTGAGGCTGGTCCATGTCTATATGGCTCTCTCCCAGGCGAGGAGCTCTTCCCTCTCCCCTCCAGAGTCTTTTTTGAAGTAAGAGTGACTGGAAGGTGTCTAGTCCTCATTGAAGCCGATCTTAACAGTTCCTTCTCCTGACAAGCAACTCTCACCCCCCCTCCTTATCAACGTCTTACAAGGTAAGAGCAGCTGGCAGGCTTCTAGTTCTCATTGAGGGCCAATCCAGGCTGGCCCTTTAGGCCAGCTTTGAGGCCAGTGTCCTCCAGCTGTCATTCAGGCCAGTTCAGTCCTGTCCTTAAGCAGAGCAAAGTAGTCTGGGTTGGGATTTTTAAGAACAAAAATCCAAATTTCCCCCTTTTTAATTTGTTTGTTGCAAGGTGTTTTTCTTCTAATAGAAAGAATGAATGGATTCTCGCCATAATTGTCAAAGCATTACAACCTGGGGGGAGGAGGAGGAGCTGAGATGTCTGAAGAAAAAGTCCAATTTAGCCCCTTCAAACTTGGCAAGTTTAAGACGGGCGGACTTCAACTCCCAGAATTCCCGAGCTAACATGACTGGAGGAGGAGGAGGAGGAGGAGGAGGAATTCTGGGAGTTGAAGTCCCCCTGTCTTAAAAGGTTACCAAATTTGGAGAGGCCCTGCTGTAGGATATATTTCCCCCTTTGGGCTGATGGGCCGGGAAGCCTGTTGCATGCCATGCGCTGTTTGCTTTCTGACAGAGTAACAGAGTTGGAAGGGACCCTGTAGGTCATCTAGTCCAACCCACTGTTCAGCTTTGTCCACCTCTCCCGCAGCGTTGTCCAGCCGCGGCACCTTGGTGCTTGAAGCTGCCATGAAGGCCGCCCTGCTTTCCCTGGAGGAGGCCCTGTCGGAGCACGGCCGGCGCCTGCAGGAGTGCCAGCGGTGCGGATTCTGCCACGTGGGGGACTGCGGGAATCGGAGCAGGCCTTGTACCCGTAAGCTGAGAGTTTCTTTCTTCCTCTCTTCCACCCTTTTCCCCCTCATTTCATTTTTTCCTCTCCCTTCTTTCCTCCCTCCCTCCCTTCTTTCCTCTCATTTCCTTCCTTCCTCCTTGCTTCCTTTCTTTCCTCTCATTTTCTTCCCTTTGATCCTCCCTCCCTCCCTTCTTTCTTTCCTCTCCTTTCCTTCCTTTCTTCCTTACTCCTTTCTTTCCTCTTATTTTCCTTCCTTCTTTCAATCCCTCTTCTTTCCCTTCTTTCTTTCCTCTCCTTTCCTTCCTTTCTCCAACATGCCTTTCTTTCCTCTTATTTTCCTGCCTTCCTTCCATCCTTCTTCCTTCCCTTCTTTCTTTCCTCTCATTTGCTACCTCACTCCCCCATTCATTTCCTCTCATTTCCCTTCCTTCCTTCAATCCTTCCTCCCTTCTTTCTTTCCTCTCCTTTCCTTCCTCACTCCCTCACTCCTTTCTTCCCTCTTATTTTCCTTCTTTCCTTCAATCCTTCCTCCCTTCTTTCTTTCCTCTCATTTCCCTTCCTTCCTTCTTCCCTCATTTCTTTCCTCTCATTTCCCTTCCTC